CACTGCTCTGTCGCATTGAGACGTTTGAGCGCTTAATTAACTGAAAACTCATTGTAGACAAAAAATTAAAAAAGCATTTTAAAGCTTGAAACTTGTACTTTCACATGCGTTTGGTTGATTTTTAAAAATTTTTTATCTTTACATTTTTAAGCTTGAGAAAAGAACACATTATTTTCTTCTAAAGAAAAAAATTTTTCTCCTAAAATTCATGACAAATGTAAAATATTACAACATTTTACCTACAAAACACGTTTTTTTAAATTTTGCTTTGATTTTTGATTGATCTAGTTACACGACTTTGAAATTAAACCTGCATCGCCGAGTTTCAGCAATTTAAAAAATTGCAAATTAGCAATTTGCTAAATTGCAATTTGAAAATGTTGCAAAGTAGCAATTTGGTAAATTTTTAACATTTCAAAAGTGTTCCTTATTTGCTGCGGACTAGTGTATATTAAATTCTATATATAGAAAATGTTTTAAACTTTTTTAATAATAAAATATTTTTTTCAGGAAACCCCGCCTACTCCTTTGTTTGACGAAGATGTCAGCCAACCTCTCGAGGATTTCCCGAGATCGATTTACTTGGGTGACGGCTGGGAGATGCAATTGCGACAACCGAATAAGAAGAAGATCACAGGACAACGATTCTGGAAAAAGATCTTCGTTAGATTGGTTTTGCAGGGTGGCAGTCCGATTCTCCAGCTGTTCAACAATAAAGACGACAAAGATCCGTTTCAAGAATTACCTCTGCTCGCTTGTTATTCAGTGTCGGACATCGGCGCTCAACAATTCGATCAATACGGAAAGATCTTTACGGTGAAATTGCAATACATTTTCTACAAGGAGAGACCTGGCGTACGGCCTGGTCAAGTCACGAAGGCGGAAAGGATCACGAACAAACTCAGTCAGTTTGCGGCATACGCTATTCAAGGAGATTATCAAGGTGTCAAAGAGTTCGGAAGCGATCTAAAAAAATTGGGTCTTCCTGTCGAACACGCGCCTCAGGTGAATTATTTTAGCTTTCGCATTTATTTCAAATAGATAAAATTAGAAAAACTAATTACCACATTTGACAGTGCGTATAAAATGAATTCTAATAATAATAATTGAGCGCACAAAGTCACGATTGATATTCATTTTTATTGTTTTACACATATTGCAGATCTCTCAGTTATTCAAGCTCGGTTCTCAATGTTTTGAAGACATGAAACAATTTTCCTGCACCGTCGAGGAAGCTCTCTTCAGGTTATCGGCGCACCGAGACCGGGCGCTACATTACAAAATGGAAGAGGTTCAGGTGACGGTCGTAGATGAGCTGTATGTCGAGCAAAACGCCGAAGGTCACGTTGACAAACAGATCGCACGTGTTCGTCTCTTCTTCCTGGGATTTCTTTCCGGTAAATATCGCACACATTTAAATATCGCATAGAATGAAGTTTGTGCTATGATATTTTTTTCCATTCTTAAGAATCCATCGTGACGAATATCTTTTTTATAACGTTCTATACTTTTGTATGATAAAAATGTGCTCCTTTTGCAATCTGTTCAAAATCTTTTTATTCATGGGTTTGAATCTGAAACAAGCATACATTTTTTCACAGGTATGCCTGATATAGAATTAGGAATAAATGATATGTGGCGACAGGGTAAAGAAGTCGTTGGCAGACACGATATTATCCCCGTCGTGACGGAAGAATGGATTCGCCTGGAGAATGTTGAGTTCCATTCGTGTGTCCAGCAGGACGAGTACGAGAAATCGCGGATAATAAAGTACGTAGTAGGATTTTGGTGTGCGATTTTTCATATAAACACTAACGATTCCTTGCTTGCGACAACGAGTTATATAATAAGTGTGTTAATTGTGAAAGAATTAAATATCACACAAATATGACGTTACGGAAGTATATTTTTACTTTATTTTAATGAAACTAATACCACATTGAACTCAGCTTCTAATTAACTAAATTAAAAAATTAAAAATGCATGACCCTTTAAATTTATTTGTGACTAATTTCCTACTAACATATCTCAAGGTTCAAGCCGCCGGATGCATGTTATATTGAATTGATGCGATTCCGTGTAAGACCGCCTAAAAACAGGGAACTGCCGCTTCAGCTAAAAGCTGTTATGTGCGTCACTGGAAACAAGGTGAGCTTCTCCTATAATTGTGTAAATATTTTTTATCTTACAATAAAACCCCTGAAAAACGCCCAGTTAGATAGTTCTTATTAGTTTTTTTTTGCAACGCTCAGCCAATTCCATGACTACTCTGCATTGTTTGACCTCCTTTTTGTTATATGTTATTAGGTGGAGTTGAGAGCGGATATTCTCGTGCCGGGTTTTGCATCCAGGAAACTAGGCCAAATACCATGCGAAGACGTGATGGTTCGCTTTCCGATACCCGAGTGCTGGATCTACCTCTTCAGGGTGGAAAAGCATTTCAGGTACGGCTCGGTAAAATCGGCGCACAGAAGAACTGGCAAAATTAAGGGTATCGAGAGATTTTTGGGCGCCGTCGACACGTTGGAGCCACAGCTGATGGAAGTCACTTCTGGTCAGGCGAAATACGAACATCAACATCGCGCTATCGTATGGAGGATGCCCAGGTTGCCAAAGGAGGGGCAAGGTATTTATCTGTGTTCTAACCAATATTTTTTGTTCAGAAAACTTCTAACTTAGACTTCTTTATTTTTTAATAATTAATATTAATAAAATTTCTATATTATTTCATGCTGAAAAATAAAACTCAATTTTTTATTGAAATCTTAATCAAAAAACACGATCAGCTTCGCTGCACGCGCGCGCGCGCGTATACTTAGCGGCTTTTTTAATTTTTTGTAAAGGTATTTTTAACAGATAATATGTTTGATAAATATTTAAGCTTTGAACGATGAAAACATTACACGGAACTATAGTTTAAACATACCGCGCATCCAAATTATCGCACAGACGGCTTTGCTGGCTCTCTTCCAATTTTGCTTACTTACGATTTGTGATTATTTCCAGGTGCATACACCACGCATCAGCTGGTTTGCCGTATGGCTCTCACTTCCTATGACCAGATTCCTGAAAATCTCTCAGAATACTGTTACGTGGAGTTCACGATGCCTGCGACACAAGTATCCCATACAACTGCGAGAAGTGTCAGCCTCCAAAACAGCGACAGTGACGCGCCGCCGGAAAAGTATGTCCGAAATTTGTCGCGGCACGAATACAGGTAGGTTCAAAGAATATTTTGATAATAAAAACTATAGAGAACAGGAACGGAACTTTAAGTATTGCTCAAAATATTTAACATTGATATTAATAAGTTATTTTAACCTAAAGCCGTGAAAGAAAATTGTAGGATAATGTAAATGTTGATGTCACGTAATGTCACGCGTTTCTATAACAAAAAATATACTATCTATTTTTCCATACTTTTTATGGCTAATCTTCTACTCGTATCGAAGCCACTTTATCATTAAACATTGCTTAGGGTGGGAATCGAACATACGCAAGGCGAAGGGCCGGGTGCATACGTCACGGCTACAATCGCATCGAAGAAAATCCCGGAAAGCACGCCGGAAGTTCAGGAAGTGGTCGAAACGCCGGCCGACTCCGATTCCGATTCCTCGGAGTAATCTGGATAATCGATTGCTAGATCGACGCCGATCGATCGTCCGTGTTGTAATAATTAAAGCGGAAAGAAAGGGATAGAGAGAGAGAGAGCTAAGGAGAACGCGTTACGTAAGTCGTTCGGTAGAGAGTTACACGGCCGACTTTTAGTCGTTTTTAAGAGGTGGATATAGATATTATACCATGATGTACGTGTTATTAATCTGTATACAGAGAGAAAATGCGCGCGAATCGGCTACGAAGCGTTTTATAAACCGCCAGTAATTACGATAACCGTCGGACAATTATTCCGCGATTTCGATTACACGTGAAAGCGTAATATTTTACGCGAGCGTTTATCGATTCGGAATTGAATTCGACGGCGATCGTTACGGGTGAATAAAATGGAATCAGGTCGGCGTAGACTGAAGCTAATCGATTCGCAAGAAAACATCTTAACTCGGCTCAAAACTGATCGATGAACTCATGGAGGTAATCAAAGCCATACACGCCAAAGAAATAATTTGCTTAAAATTTCTCGCAGAATAAAAAAAAAAATACCTAAATTACCTTTGACCCTTGTCTTTTTTCGTGATATTAAATCGCATTATGAAGACCTCAGCGTCTTCTTGACATTTATTAAGTATCGTTATTTTAATGTTTGATTCTCGTTTTAATCACTTTAATCATCATTTGTAAAATAATGTTGCAAGCAGGCGGTTTACGAAACATTTTGTCCGCATTCGCGCAATATAGTTGTTAACGACAAGTAAAGGAAAACTAATTTGAGATGGAAGGACAATACCGCTTTTTCGTTCCGTTTAGCTCGTTAAGTCGTAGAACACTCGCGGTGGAAAGCTTTGTGTTCATGTTGTGCGCCCATGATGTTTCAAAGGCTCGTCGATATTCTCATAGATGGTCGCAGGTGTTGAAATTTCATTGTTAAGAACAGTCGCGTGCTATGCACTCTTTTAAACGGCCAGACGATAAATATTACCGAGCAATTACATTTTTATTCAAAAAATTTATGCAGGAATTATTTAGATTAGCGCTGATTTGTATCCGTAATTTTTTTTCGGTAATTCATGCATGGAAACTGGAATATTTTTGATATTTTAAACTCCTTTGATTGCACTTCAACGTTCGTAAAAACCCAATAACATTATCCAATTCGATAAATCAGCGAAATAAAATAAAACGTCGTCCAGAAAAGAAGATATATTGTTATGTCACGTCGTCGTTGCGATCAGAGGGCAATAATTTGTTAGGCATCGTTATGTTTTTATAGACGCAAGCATATCCCATTGTTTGAGCTTATAGATGATCTATACATACCGTTATCTAGTCACTAGATGCTAGGTTTATCAATCAGTGATCGCGTGCGTTATAGATTTTGTAGGATAGTGTGTGGACAACAATAATAACGCGGTATCGATGTGCAATATATTCGTATGATTGAGAGAAAGAGAGAGAGAGTGTGTGTGTGTGTGTATCGATGAGAATACATCTAGTCTTTAACAATACTTGTTTAAGCGCTAATGATAATCACGAATAATCTGTAAGCGCTTGTAGCGGTAACGTATCGTAAATTCTAGACGTAAGTTTCCGTTTTGTTATCATTTTACTTTCGTCTTTTTCGATCGGTATGGAATATTGCCGACGTGCATATAAGCAGCATCCAGTACATTAGGATTCAGCATTGACGGCTATACAAATGATTATAGCTATACTGACGACATAATCACTTCTACTAATAAGTAAGTACATAGAGAGATCTCCAGTAATTGTATATATAATCTCTAAAATAATCTAGTCGCGTTTTTAGGAAGTTTTAGGATATATAGACTAATATTTAGAGAGTAAGTTTTAGTTTGCATTTTGAATTTTTTGTTTACACGTTTCTCAACCTTCACGAAAAGGTCAGAAGAGTTGATTCTAGTCCCTAGCTATTAAGTGAATCGTATGACACGGACGGACATACTGTCGATCATACGTTAATTGTTAAGGTCTAGATTATAAGATTCGACTAAGCGACTTCCGCCGGTATTTGGCAGCAGATCCCACAAGAGGCAAGCATACAAATTACTTATACAATTAGATGTACGATTGAGACGAACAGATGCGTCTGTTAATTGTTAATTGCCACTCTGATCCTCTCGGCGACACATAAAGCATACTTCTTTGTAAATTTTTCCTCAAATTATATTTTTGTGCAAAGTTGATACGATGACAAAATTGTCAATTTTTTAAGAGGTGAAAAAGAAAACAATGTTTTATAGTGTAAAATGAGAACATAAGTATATTATATGACTGACTAAAAGCAACAAAAAGTTTTACAACATATTATTTTATCCGTAACACAATTTTTAGCAAGTCAAATATCACAACTGTGTTTATAATTTATATACAGCTTTATACTATAAAATTATTTTAATTAAAATATAAATTATATATAGGTATAAATATAAATTAAATTATAATTTTTTTACAACAGATTTTTCTTGGCAGATAGAAATATTTGTACAGTATATTATTACTGCGCCGAAAGTTTTAAGAAAATGCGCGCAAAAAGTCTACAAATTGTATTTGTAAACGTCGAATCCGATGCTCCTCGCTCTTTGAAACAGCGCAAAGCTTTTCGAGCTACAGTGTCAAGGTTTGTTTGAGTTTGGTATCTTAAACGGATTTTGGGCAAGTCTTTCTCAAACGGAAGCTTGTACCAAAACGTGACGTTTCCAGCTCGTGATCTCAAAATACGCGTAACCGTATCGTCATGCGATGCAGAACGGCGTTCGTGTATCTAAGCAAAAAAAAAAATGAAGCATAAATACAAGACAAACATTACATGTATAGACTTTAGGAAAGAATAAGTAGTTAGTGAATATATAAGTATGGCTCCAGCATGTTTACAAGATTTTAAGAGAGAATGGATGGTAATGAAGAGAAATCATAGAGAGAAAGAGTGCGCGAGAGAAAAAGAGAATAGGATTTTGAACATTTAACGAAGGAAGGTTGATAATTGTCACATGTTTATTGCAGTTCTGTCCACGTTTGCCTCTCTAATAGCTTTTCTAATCCAGAAAGAAGGAAATTGTAAGAGAACGCGGTAAACATACACAGTTATAAAAATGTTATGAAAATTATCTCTAAAGTTATTAACTTTATAAAACGCACTATAATACAACTTGTTAATTTCGTTTGTAACCGTATTTTAATACAATCACGTAAAATGCGTTAAGCCCCTGAAAGCTCATCGTAGCGGTATGATATATAATTCGAATTAGTTTTGTGAAAAATGTGGTGGTATTTCTGTAAAAAAAAAAAAAAAAAGAACAGCTTCAATGTTAGCATGTATACAGCGAAAATAATGAAAAATAGGCATGAGACTAGCATCATGATCTCCGTTGCAATATATTAATGTGTCATGTACAAGTCGATAAACCCCTCGAGAAGAGCATTAATTATCTCCATATAAGTTAAGCAGAAGGTAGGCGATATATATATATATAAATCCTGTTGATTCAACTTGATATAAAAAAGTAAATTGTAAAGGAAATAATAAGACGTAGAATATGATATAGCCGTTGCCTCCTCTCCTTGTATTGAAAAATGTTCTGTACAGGTGAAAAAAGTCTGTAAAGATAAAGTCTAGTCATGCTTTTTTGTGAGACCGATATATAATATTTAGGGGAAATACGAAAAATGAAGATATCCCGTGACAGAAGGTGTGTGACATAGAATAACGCGTGTTTCTCCGAGCATGTTGCTTCTTCTCGATACCCGCACCCGATCGCCCTTAAATGAAATCATCGAAGACAGCTTTGTTCTAGCTTACGCTTTTTACCGTGCAGATGTATTTGTTATGAGATTAAATAAAGAGCTTTTCGTACACTAACGCTGTAAGAGAATCGCTTTGGGAATAATTCTCGTATATTTAAAATGCGCTAAGCGATTTTGTAGATGCCGGGTACGTTGAGTCTTGCATCGATTTTAACGAGCCGTTCTTTGATTGAAACTACAATTGTCACAAGGGCTCTGCCAAAGGCACTGAATTCTATAAAATTCGAAATGTGTTCAAAGCCAAATAAGTTTTTTAGCGTGTTAAGATCTAATAGGATCCAAGTATCAAAATGGATATATGTACGTGTTATTGATACGTAATATTGATGTAACTCCACGTTGCTTGTGACAGTGAACGTTATATCATGCGGATGATGACATTTAAGGGTCAATCGACATCAACGTCAACGCGAACGGCGCTGAAAACGAATGTGTATCACTTTGTTCCATCATGGCAAATAGTAATGTATACAGAAAACATGATCGAATAAATAATTTACGTTACACATCGTAATCCAGTGCTTTTTATAGAACACAGCATGCATGTGGGCGGCGTTCTTTCTAAGCAAGTACACAATTGCAAGATCGCATTCATGTCACACCGTTGTGCATGCAAGCTTCGACCAATTAAATATGGTGCATTCCTTTTGAGTTTGTATGTAAAAAGTGACAGTCGCAGAAAATCCTCCCTTTCTCGCGAACGCTCTGAGACAATTAAAGGGAACATTGCATATAAAGGGTATATATGTATAAGTCACCATATGAAAGTAAAATCAGTGTTTCCCCAATTTAATTTAAGCACAAATTTCTGTGGAACGTTTTAAACATTTTCAGTATTACTTATGAAATTGAGAAAACAAGTCAGAAATATTGCAAAAATAATAAGCAATGCGATTGTAAAATTAACGAATTAACATGTACATAATTTAAAAAATCGCAATTGTTTTGAAAAAAAATATAAAAAGCAAGAAATATATATATTATTATTTTCCAGTGCAAAAATATTTTTTCTGGGAGACAAATATATTATATAAATATAATACAATAAACGATAATAATGAATATATAGAATACTATTATACGAAATCACATTGATTCGCTTACTTACGAAATTCCGTTACAATCAGTTATCACGCGAGATTATATAATTTAGTCTTCAACTGCAATCTTAAAAAATTTATTAGTTGTGTAACGTGGCTAAACAATATTTATAGTGATGTCGGTTAATCATGTAACTATTATATATACGTATGTACAATTCCCGCGTTTTGAATTCGACAGTCCGCGAATTAACGTAAATTAACTGCAGATGGATTGTATAAAATAGAGGCAAAGTAGCGAAGACTTTTCATTCCGGTTTCTCAATTTGTTTCATCATTCTGAGACATCGACTTTTTGAGCGCGGCCAAGTGATGACCAGAAAATTCACGATATCGCATCAACAATAATTCCCTGCGACTAAACGAACGAATATCTCTAATCTAGAGTACTTTTAATCCCTAATTAACTTTGAAATATATGCGTGTATAACGTGTGTGTATAATGTAGACTCTACACTTGCGTCGTAAAGACGTCGTAAAGAGCAATGTAGCGCGTAGAAGACTTTTCGTTCCGGTTTCTCGATTTATTTCACTTTTTCGAACGGCATCGGTCTTTTAAGCGAGACCAAATGATGACCAACATGCAACAATGTAACGAATAATAATATAAGTGTGACGCTAATAATATCATCCTGCAAACTGGGGGAATACCGATTCTGAAGTATCTCTAATCCTTGTAACATATGCATATGCGTGTGCATTATGGCATAATGTACCTACTCGTACATACATGTATAACTATTATTTTAATTGTAATCTAATCAATAACCGTGTGATGTATAAACAAGATATCGAAATGAACGGGATAGGCGTCTCAAGAATACTTTGGCATGTATGATAATTTACAAGCGAGTGAGAGAGAGAGAGAGAAAGGGAGAGAGAAAGACAAGGCGCGACAGACCATTTTTGAAGGGAAAGACAAAACCAAGTGTAACACTGTTAGCTAATGGTACTAGTGATAAATTCTATGTATCGATAAATAATATAACATTGTTTAAGGGATGAAGATTAATCACGTTTGAAATTGTATTTTCCCAGTGACAATAATTTTACATTCACGTTGCAAACTTTACATTGTAATTATTAATTTGCTTAAATTAGGGAACAAGTAAATTGCAAGAACTTTAAATGTGTTACTTAATCCTGTCGTATTAATTTAAAAAAATATTATTCGTAATATTATAATAATTAGATAAAATACAAGAGTCAGTCGATAATTAACGGATAGCTCGTTGTTAATTGTCGATCCATTCACGTACTTAAGATAACAAAATGACGTGATGAAATATTTTCACGCCAACGCTGATCGCTTTCTTCCCAACAGCGATCACGTGTATGAACATTGCTTCGGGAACACAAACGTCAAAATTTTTCGTATATAGTATAACTTTATTACACACTTTTGGTTTTCTTTTTTACATATAAATTATATAATAATGGAATCAGTTTCATATTCGACTATGCAATTGCACGCGACGTTCTTCTAATCTTCATAAGTTTCCGTAAGTATATAACAAAGGCATGCACCGCTAAATATCTAGCATCATATGCCTTAATAACCTGATTCCTGTGACTATTGCAGTGCACTTTCTCTCTGTACGTGCACAATAGATTTAAGATTCATACGTTTTATAAAATATTTTTTTTTATTTCTCTGAAAAATGTAAATTTTTACATGTGCATATTCAAGGTCTGCTTTGACATTTAGAGTTTGTCATACATTGATTTTTGCATAGTTCTGCGACCAACAGGACATCCAGTATTATGTTTCAATGTCTTGTACAAAGAAATCAATTTTTAATTTTAGATTAGAACAAATTCAAAACCGACGAAAAGCGTTGAAAAGCCCGAGGATTTCGTTTACAGTCTAAAGTCGACTGTTCTCTCGCGTGCGCATTGTCAGCGGAAGCGCGGCTGTTCTCCAGGCGGCGGAATCACGTCATCGCATTCGAGGGCATCGCGCAAGCGTAATACGGTCGATAGCGTTGTACGAGAGGCTGTCGCGGTTCCGCCGCCGTTACTGCCGCCTCCACCTCCACCTCCGTCGGCCGCTCAGCTGTTTCTGTTTACTAAACAAAGGAGCCAGTTCAACGCTGGATGGCGAACGGCGCGTCCGCGCGCGACGCCACTCGTCCCTACTCCGTTCGAGAGATCGACGACGAACGTACGTCGGAGTCCGCGCGACGCGGTGAAACCTGCTGGCGCTGTGCGCGAGAGGCGCGCGGAAAAACTATCTCTCGCTCGCTACCTGGCTCGCGCTGATCTGAATGCGTAGGACGTAAACCACTGTGCACGCGACGACTCCGACGCCGCGGACGCAGCGGCGACGGCGAACGAGGAGCGACGGCACGGGAGGACCGAAGGGCGGCGCGCAAACAGTGAGTAAAAATAAAGGCGACGCGTCCAGGGCCAAGCCGACGGCGGCCCGCGCGCTCGCCCGCCCGCTCCACTTTGGTCCTTGACATGATTTTCCAACACGCGTCGGGTCTGACCCTTTCGGGATTATCTCCTCTCCAACGAGGAGGAGTGCTCGCGCCCATACGGAAGTCGCGCGCGCGACGATCGCGCTCGACCGCGCTCGTTACGCTCGTGCGACGCGCACGCAACCGATTGCGTTATCGGTCACGCTGCATTTAGATGACCGCCAGTCAAGTAACGCAACCGCGCAAGTTTTCTCGAGAGCCTAGACGAGAAACGCCGAGCGATATGGATCCGGCTGTTGATACCGTTCGACGCATGTGTAATGGATGAGATCCTTTTTCTCGCTTTCTGCGTGGGATTTCCTAAGGCTCGTTCCTTGCACTCGTCCGAACGGCCGCGACCTTCTGCGCAGATCTCTGACAATCGCCGTTTTTATAGGAAGCTATCGGGTCTCGCTGATTACACATCCGTCGAGCGGTATCGACAATTAGATCTAATGGCAAGATGCCGTCGGGAAACGCGACGTAGAACGCTTCACGTTGCTCTACACGGTGATTCAGTTTCAAAGAGACCCATTTCTTGTCCTTTTCTTTTACAATAACTAACAGTGATAATGGAACGATGATAATTTTGCGAAATCTATTAATTATGTCATTATTACATTATCTGCTTTCACGATTGCAGAAAATGCAAATGTAAATGTAGGCGTTTTTTAAATGTCAAATATCTACGAGGCTCAATTATTCTCCGTGATCTTTTCGGCGTGCAAAATTTTTTTTATGTATATATTTTTATTTTCTAATTTTTTTTTAATTAGCAAAATGCGAAACATGACATAAAATTTTTCTTGGTCAATATTAGTTAAATAAATATTAGTTTTCATTCGATGCTTATCGCTTGCAGCTATCTTTGCAACGATGCATTAAGGATATTGAGTACAGGCCGAACGCAAGAAAAGAACAATCACGCGGATACACGTTGTGCATGGTCGATTTCTGCCTCTTATTTCTATGTTCTATATTCTAATCCTCCTGTTTTGTAATGGGCTTGGCTACCGCTGAACTGCAAATCGATTGGCACTATTTCCGTGCATGGTGCAACGTAGAAACTACCTTTCCATTACTTTCGTTCATTAAATCGAGCATCAGTCTTTCTCTCGACTAGAACCAGAATTTCTTCGTTTCTTACATTTTTGTTCATTATCGCGTTACGCAATTAATTTATTTTAGAGCTGTTATAAATTATGAATCGAGCTTGAAGATTATATTTCTATATAAATTATCGCTGCGAGAAATAAACAAAACTTCAAAAAATATCGCGTAAGTAAAAGAGAAGATAAACGTCTCGTGTGTAATTCAAAAATCGATATTTTGAGATGTTTGTCACCCGGGAAATATTTCGTAGATAACTCGGAGCTTGTTGGTTTTCATTCGTACCATTGCACTTTAGCAACTTACGCAACTTTCAGCCAACACACTTACTGGCAAAAGCATCTCTAAATGCCTGATCGTTGATTGCGTAATCGGAT